GGGCTTGTGAGGAGGAGTAGTGGGAGAGAAAGTGGCAAAATTGCTGTGTGATCACGTCATAGAGGGGTGTCACTAACAAGGCAGGGAAGTGGGCATTTCTCTGTTTTGTTTATAGGGCACATTTACTGGGTTTTGAATAAGAACTGACAATAAAATTATTATGTTGATGTATTATATATATATACAAGGAGTTTTAGGATAAAGTATGGAAACTTATTTATTATTCATTATTTTCTCTGCAGTTAATCCTATTTCTTGTGTTATTATGTTATTCCTAGAAGTAGAGCTTAAAGATAAAAATTTCATTAAGGCATACAATTCATAGGGCATTATTTATTCATCTAGATATTAGACCGGTGTTTATGATGATGGGACTTGTTTTCTTCGGCTATTCTTTTAATAACAAATGCTATTTATTAACAAATGCTATTCTCTACTACTCCCTCTCTCTTTAACTGGATTGCAATAGAAGTTTTTATTTTATTTTATTGTTATTGTTTGCTTTTGTTGAAAGAAAGCCAAAATGCTATTAATCTGTAGGATGCAAATAGGATTTAATTTTTAAAGGCAAAGTACCTGTTTTTATTTCCTAAGTATTTATCATTAATCACTTGATATTCCTCTTGTAAAGCAGTATTCATGTGGTTTCTCTCTTTTTAAAAGCACAAATCTATTACATGTTTATTGTGGAACATTCCGTGAATGTGTATAAACAAAAATATGAAAATTGAAGACAATTACAGCTCCCCCCACCTTGATAATACAACATTTTGCTATATATTCTTTGTATTTTTCCAGTTATATATGCATGTTTATGGGTGTACATGTTATATTTATACATGAATGCACATACATTTACACAAATGATAGCATTCTTAAAAGACTACTTAATTATTCATCAAACTGATTTGTCATAATTTTACAAATTGTGTATTATTGGATATACAGTATAAAACACTTCTGTTTTTCTCTATTTTAAACAGTGTAATGATGAGATGAGCTTTTTTTTTAAACTATCTCTTTGTACATATACAGGAATTTTTATCTAGTGGACATTCCTAGAGTTGGAATTGCCAAACAAAATAGTATATGTCTCTTTTAAGGGTTTTGATTCTCATTGCCAAATTGCTCTCCAGAAAGATTGCGCTTACAAAGATATTATAAGGCTTACCGTTTTCTCCAAGTCTTAAATGATATATTTGAGAATTCCATTGTTTAAGAGCTTGTAGGAATATATGTAAAGATACATTCAAAGTCAGTACATTATATGTATGTGTACACAGAAGTTTCATTATTAAGTGTTGAGAGACCTGAATCACAATTAAATAGAATTGAATCCATTAGACATCTGAGGAATTAGTTAGCTGGTAACAGAACAATAAGTAAACTGACACTCTAATCTAAAAAGTGAGGGAAATGCATATTGTAGAATTTCTGACTCTAGGAGTTGGCAACTATTTATTCTGGGAGACTGAGGAGGTAATTTGTGTAAGTTGGTAAGAATAGCATATTGTTCTCTATGTTTGGGATGATGGAAGCGGTCAGACAGGCAGCTACCTTCACGGTGCCTACTGGGCTCATTGCCTCTGTGTGAAGGCAGTTGGCAGAGGACTTAGAGGGCCTTTGGTGCTAGTGCCTGCTTCTTCCTCCCTGGAGCTGTGCAATACTAGTAAGTGCATATCACCCCACAGCACTCAGAAAATGTAGCAGAGCCAGGCTGCACTGATGAGAAAGCCCCTTTACAGTAGGAAGCGGCTGGAAACAGGAGCCTGCAGCTTGCGTGTGCAGTGCCACTGGTGGAAGGAGCCTGAGCTGAGGGTGGCTGTGGAAGTGCTGGCAGGGCATGGCATGGCCAGGAATAGCTCCTAGCCAGAAGAGCAAGAGCAGAGGGAGGAGCCCACACTCATTTTAGAGATATTGGGGAAGGGAATCCCACTATTTTTGTATTCCAGCTTGAAAAAGTATTCAAATATTTTCCAATGAAATGTTCGTGTTACTTTAAAAAGACCATTTACAAGAAGTGTCCTTATAGAATTGAAATATCAGCAGTTTAAAAAAAATTTTTTTTAATTTAACCTGCATTGAATATCCTTGAAATGCTGAAATAGTTTGGACAGCTTTTTATTTTGTGACTGTTGTCTTTCTAATAATGATGAAATTGATATTCTGACTAATTAATATACTTTGTTCATTTCCTTAGTAAGAAAATTATTGTTGCTTAAAAGTGCAACTGGCTAAAAATTGCTAAATGGTCTTAATGATAAATAACATGCTACTATACTGAATATCATAAAATGTGAGGTAAAGCATATTTTATTCCAAGTTTAATTTATCAGGGAGAACATAAGCATTTGAAAATCCATAAGTCATTTGGGTCACTACTTTACAGTCAGAAGTCATAATACATACTTGTAAAAACAATTTAATTGCACTGCTGCTAAAATATGTCCCCAAAACAATAAAAATTGTTATAGCGGTGGAGGAATAGGTCACCGGTCTGTGAGGAGGTTGAGACCCAATAACACTAAGTATCTTATCCAAGATCTCAGCCTGGCCATAGTTACAAGCAATAATTAGTCTGCTCTGCTGTGGTGAATTTGAAAAACATCTCCATGAAGCAACGATGGGCTTCTGAATGTGTATATAGCCCAAAATAGAAACATCCTGCTTCTATAAATTGGGTTGGGATCCAGGATATCCTGTTGGGGGGGAAAAAAAGAAAAGAGCATTTAACTTCTCCAAAAATATACATGGCCAATTTATTTGTTAGTGTGCAATCTATGAGAATCAGGAAGGGAGATAAAAAGGAATTCCAGGTTACAAGAGAAGATGAGAACTAGGAAAAGTGAAGTAAAAGCAATATTAGTATCACTTTAGTAAGCTTATTCTGTATTTGGCTTCATAGTGTTGTCACTGGAGAATCCAGTTCCTCCCTTGCTCCTGGGAGCAGGGTTTAGGTTCTTGGGGTACCACTGAAATAAGAATTTTCAGAAACCCCTGCAGGCAAACAAGATGTGGTAAAAGGCGTTATTTGCATAAGTCCCATGCCTCTTAAGCCAGTCATGAAAGAGTCTGCGTTCCAGTAGAACCCAAAGCAAGGCCCGTGTTCAGAGCTGCTGTGGCATGTTGCAGCCAGGCTCAACTAATTAAAGTCCCTTAGTCCATCGAGTGAGGGCCCACATGGGCCCGGAGCCAGGTGGCACAGGGGAACACACCCCCTGTCACAGGAGTCAGGAGGAGGAGCAGAAGGAGAAAGCTCAAGAAAGCTCATTCCTTTGTTTCAAAGTTGAAATATTCATGTTTCATGTGCTTGCAGTGACCATGCCTATTATGGCCACTGACTAGTCCTCAGCTGTGACTGAGAGACAGGCACATTCCCAGGTCACTCAGACCTTAGTGGGTATGCTCCAAACTGCCTTTGTCCAGTACCCTCAGCGATCAGCAGGGAAGAGACGCGGGGAGCTTTAAATTAGCAAAGCTGAATAAATGGCATGGCTGTATTATCCAGTCTTCCCTTTACTCCTCCCCTGTTAATAATAACCAGGTTATTCTAATAACAGCATCAGAGTTATGATATGAAATCTTGCCACAAGCTCTGAATCATGATACCACCAAATGGGAATTGGTCAGATTTAAACTTTTGATTTCCTATATAGTGGAAGTCCTTTTATCTTCCATGATTTGCATACATTTTGGGGCATTAATTGAACTAATTAGACTAACAGTCAATGAATGTATCATAGGTAAAAGTTAGGGAGGAAACCCAAAGGGTTGATTAATTCTACAAGTTGCTTAGGAGAGAGGTCCACATACAACCCTTGTGACACTAAGTTCTGTAACACCATGCCTAACGCATTTAGGTTAATTTACATTCTAGGGGGAAGTATTGTACAATAAAATTTATGTTCAACCTTAAGTATAATCCATAAACATATTTCCATTTCTGTGATGTGTGTCCATGTGAGAATGAATAGTGACATGAGAAGCACTGATTGTTTTTCTGGAGATAACCTTGAACTAATACCATCAGCTGATGTGCAAGTCCCATTTTGGAACTTTGTACTATTCCACCTTTGCGTACGGTACAGGAACTGTATACTTGAGGGAGGGACTGTGAGGTTCCATGAGGGTAGGGCCCTTTATGTCTTGTGCCTTCCCATGATAGACAACCAGTAAATATTGATTAAATCAACAGAAGTAGGGTAGATTTGTAATTTTCAAACCAGGTTTCTGGAAGCTATAGTAGAGCATAAGGACTACTGCAGAATTGGGACCAATGGCCATGGTGATTAGCTTAGAGCTTCGTGGGTGAGTCTCTAGACAGATGAATCTACCCTATATCAGATTCTCAGTCTAGAAATTTTGACATTTTAAAATTTTTAGTCCTCAGAATTACACTGCAAAGTATATTTTTTCTCTGCACTGAAGTTCAGAGTAGCTAGTACACTGCAAAAGGTTACACAGCTTTATCACTGATTATTTTGGGTTTGGACATATAAATGATACTAGTGTCTACACTTTTAGCCCATTTCTCTGCAATAGTATTATGCATATGGAAAAGGAGAGCTGCATGCTCTATGTAAATCAGGCCCGTATGGTCTTGCTTTGTTTGTTTGATATTAAAAGGCTTCTGTTTAATAATACTAAAGATTTTTTTTTTTTTAGAGGCAAATGTGGATTTGAGCCAGGCTCTACCTGTTAGACTATTCAAATAGTCAAAGAGATTACTAATTATCTCTCAATTTTCTAATTGGTGAAATAGGATTAGTAACAGGTTGTTGCAGAGAGCAGATTGTATAATGCATGTTATCTGTTTTGAACAGTATCTGTCAGCTGTAAGAACTTCATTTGTTTACTTGTTTGGTGTCTGTGGCTCTGTAATCCTGAGTTTTAGTTGTAACACTGGGAATAGATTGACATTGTGTTTAGCATTCTTTCTATTATATATTCCTTTTTGTTTATCTATTTGTTTAACTTTATTATATGTAATGTCATTTCAGGTTCCTATATGATAGTGGACTCTTCAGACCACGACCCTGGAGAAAAAGCCAGACTTCAGCTGCCTACAATGAAGGAGAACGACACTCACTGCATTGATTTCAGTTACCTGTTATATAGCCAGAAAGGGCTGAACCCTGGCACTTTGAACATCCTAGTGAGGGTGAACAAGGGACCTCTTGCCAATCCAATTTGGAATGTGACTGGATTCACGGGGAGAGATTGGCTTCGGGCTGAGCTAGCTGTGAGCACCTTTTGGCCCAATGAGTATCAGGTAATCATCCTTTCCTTTCTGGTTAATGCTTTGATGTCGTTGGATTTCACCATATATATAATAGTTAGATATAGATATTAGCCCCATAGAAATGTAAGGTTGTCCGTCTAACCCTCCTCCACTCCTTCCTTGAGCAAATTTTTTTAATACCTTGGAGCAAAATCTTGAAAAATGGAGAAAAATCATTCCACTTATAGGAAAAAAAAATAGTTCAGGTACAAAATTTGTTGGTTGGTTGGCAAAAGGCTACTTATTGGCAGATATATTTCTGTGTGTCTGTGCAGGAAGAAATAGTATTTTTGATTTGAATGCAATATTCAGATGTGATTGGTTTACTCATTTCTTGAAAATAACAGCTGGAAAATAAACATGAAATAGTGTTTCATGAAGTCTGGTATCTAAAAGGGAGGCAATTTGAATAATTTTGACAGTTACTTGAAGTATGAAAATAAGCAGACAGCTCTGGCTAGGTGGCTCAGTTGGTTGAAGCATGGTGCCATATATTACAAGGTTGAGGGTTCAATTCTTGGTCAGGGTTCATACCTAGGTTGTGGTTTGATCCCTGGACAGAGCACGTATGGTATGCAACAGATTGATGCTTCTCTCTCACATAGAGGTTTCTCTCCCTCACTGGCTCTCTCTCTCTCTCTCTCTCTCTCTCTCTCTCTCTCTCTCTCTTTCTCTCTCTCTCTCTCTCTCATCATTAAAAATATATTCTCCAGTATGGATTAAAAATAAAAATCTTAAAAAAATGTAAGCAAATGAAAAAAGAAAAGCTGTCCACACGTCTTTGGATCTTTCCCCACCAGAAGTTCATTCACAGGATAATAGAGTTGTTCAATAATCCTCACTAGGAGATTCAGTTCCTAGAAATAGAAAGCTACCTCTTTTGAAAGTTCTCCTTTGTGTTAGAACTTGCGATTTAAGCTTTTAAATGGCTTGCTTATTTGTACTTTATTAGAGAGCTTAATGAGAATGTGTTTATGTAATTGCATATTTCGCAATAGTATATTTCGCAATAGTATATTTTGCAATAGTATTCAATGAGTACTTTATAAGCTAATAACAGTTTCATTTCTGTTATTTAAAAATTAACCATTTCTTCAGTTTAGGTCTGTCTTGATTCCCAAGAAAGGGGGACATTCAATGTATTGTTTTAATTGCTTTGCTTTGAATTGGTTTTCTGTGTATTAAAAGCCTCTTATTTCACAGGTGTTGTTCCACAGGTATGGTTCTTCATTCGGGGGTATGTGTCTTTTGAGATTTCAGTGAGGTTTCATTAGGTGGCTGATTCCATTATTCCAGAATAGAAAGATGTTTTTCTTCAGTCTGGGAGAGCTGTCCTCTGGGGAGATCAGAGCTTTGGCGGGGGTTGGGGTGTGGGGGTGGATTGGTGGACTAGTGCTCCAGTACTGGAAGGAAGGGCAGTGGGCTCATCTCTGACAACAGGGGGCTCTTGGCTGTCAGTGTTGGGCACCCGCAACATACACTAACATATTGACTTCACAGAGAATCTATGGTTGCAGTGTAACAAAACATTGCAAAAAAAAGAAAAGGCTCTGAATCAGCAAGATAATACTGTCAATGTATGCAGACTTCTTACAAGGCCCAAAGAACAAGTCTAGCATGCTTGTTAAAATGTTGGGTTCTGGAGTCATGCTGGGTCCTATAGTCAGCCCTGATTGCTTTTTGCTACCCGTGTAGATAGCTGGTGAAGGAATTGAATGGTTCATTGTACTTTAAAATACAATAGAGTTTGATGAGTCCAACAATTAATCTCTGTGATATCATACTTCTGTTTCTTTGTGACTAAGAAATGACATGCATTGATTACTTTCCCCTTATTTTTTTCTAACACCTCCCTTTGAGTCATTTACATCAATAGCTTTTTATATGGCCCAGATTCTGCAATATTAATGTTGAGTTATAGTGCCTAGGACTGGATGAATGCTTCTTTGTTCAGTCTTATTTTGCATGACAAAGCCCTCTAGTTTACATGTACCTGCCATTTTAAGTCAGCAGTGTAAAAAGGCTCTGTGAAGGTTTCAACCTGGCCAGTGAGATCTTTTTGGGTATCTCTTGTCAGAGAAAAAGACGATAAAATATGTAGAACCTATGGGCAAATGTCTGTTGCAGATTGAAATTTGAGCTACAGATCATTTTTTAAGTGATTACTTTGCTTCCACACAGTTTCCCTTAACCTGCAAAACTTCACAATCAATGAGAGTGAATAGCAGAGTAGAACATTTTTCATGTGCTTAGTTAGTGCTCAATAAATTATTTGGTTGATGTTTTCATCGATTCTGTCCTTTAGATACGTATTTGTACCTGTACATCAGTTATTAGAAACAACCAGCTCAACACAAACTATATTTATGTTGCCTTTTTGCTATTAGTAAATAGCATGGAAAACTTTTGACTACTGCTTACTGCAGGATCTTTATGGATTTTTTAAAAATAAAGCTATTGCAATGGGTCATACTAGCTGCTTACTCATTTTCATTCTTAAAGATACACTGCTATTTTTTAACCCCCCCCCCTTCGATTCTAGATTAAGTAAAGATATGCATAGAAATTATCTTTTTTTCCCATAATTTAACTCAGTTTCTCTTTTCCAGAGAATTTACACTCTCCAAACTCTTTGAACCATTTTTTTATACTCTAATTTTTGTAATTCCTTGACTTTTGTTGTATTTCTAGAGGAGAATCCTGTATTTTCTTTGCTTGAGCCATTTTTTTATCTGACCACTTCTCTAAGCAACCCCCTTCTCGCCAAATTTTAACAGTAAAAACTACCAAAAAGAAAACAGCCCAAGAGTAAAAATACCTTTAACTAATGTAGGCTAATTGTTGTATAAAAATCATACTCCTGGAAGTATGTGTGTGGGGTAGGGGATTCCCCCCATTTTGTGTGACAAAACTTCATAGCTTACCTATACCTGCAGTGTTCCTCTCTTTTCCATTTTCCAGTTGAACTAAAAATCTGCTCTGATTTGTCCTTCCCAGTGATTCCATCTTACCAGATGCCTACATTGGAGGTGAATGTGGTAATTAAATCATATTTGCTATGGATTATTAAAAAATGAAGAGATAGTGGTTTTTAATCCCATGAAATTTAACCTGTGATTTGAAAAAGGAAAAAATAATATACATGACATTGTGAAATGAAGGCAAAAATGATTCTCCAAATAATGAATTTCGGTTACCTGGCAGATCAGGATAAGGCTCATGAACTTGGGAGTCAACCTTTCTGGGTGAATCTTGACTTTAATTTTGCAGCTGTGCGGCATTGAGCATATTCTTTAATCTCTATGACTGTAGTTTCCTTCTCTGAAAAATGAGGACTACAATAGTACCTACCTCATTGGCTTATTTTATCACATGAGTCCATATATATATATAGTTTAGAAAAGTGTCCTACACATAGTGTTTACCATAAAGTTTAGTTAATATTATGATGGGTAAACAAAAAAAATTAGACTCTACTGGATTTCATATGTGCTCAGAATGTTCTTGTTTTGAAATCATGCTATTTTTTAAAAAAGACTATTTTTTTTTTAGAGCAGTTTTAGGTTCACAGCGAAATGAAGAGGAAGGTACAGAGATTTCCCCATATATCCTCCACCACATGCACACAGCCTCCCCTATACTCTACATCAACCACTAGGATGGTATACAGTGGAGGAACCTACATTGACATCAGAATTGCACAGAGTCTGTGGTTAATTTTAAGGGTCACTCTTGGTGGTCTACCTTCTAAGAGAATGACAAATGCATGGCATGTCTCCATCATTAGAAGAGCTTACAGAATCCTTTCACTACTCTGAAATCACCTGTGCTTCACCTAGACTTCCCTCCCCCTCCATGCTCTTTTTTTTATGTTTTTTATTTATTCAAATGTCAACTTACTTGACACCTTATTTAGCATGAGGTCAAACCATGCTCACCGTTGGGGATACTGGGCACGTCCCTCTTCCTCTGAGCCTTATAGCCTTGCTTGGCAGTGCAGGAGATAATAATGCAAAACAGATGTGGAGTGTCGCCTTAAGGAGCCTAGGCCAGATAGGAAATGTGAAACATACCTAGATAAAATTTGAAATAATACAGCAATTGTTAAATGACTTAAGAGAGATAAATATGAAATGTAGCGGGGAAATGAAAACAAAAGATAGATTTGTTTCCAAAGTAACTTGAGGCCGAAGTGGGACTAGGTTTCTCCTGTACCACATTGTTTTTCTTAAACCCCAATTATTGGGAGCTAGCACACTCTGTAGTGAAACAAAACACGGAAATGCAATTTTGTTTATGACATAAGCACTGCATTGATACACTAATATGTAAGGAACTGTTTCTCACCTGTGTCTTCAAGGCGATAGATGTCTTTGCTGCTCAGTATACTAATTATAGAAAATGTCGTATTATATTTGTTTTATTTGCAATGGCCACAGGATACTAGTTCTGCCTATTTTTTATAGGCCTCAAGTAAGCATTGTAAATTTTTAAATTATTTACTAAGTAGAAGTAAAATGAAAAAAGAAAAAAAGAGTATGAGGCATGATCTCGGTGTTAAATTTCAATGGAAGATCAGCATGCCTCTAAAGTATAATTTTCTCCACTCTGGAAATCTGACCTGTCTAGTGTGCGTCAACTAAGTTCTACTTTGGGGATTAAATCCATTAGTTTCTTACTGAACAGTGAGGTTGTTACCAAATGAGGCAGGCAGACATAACTTCCAAAACTATTAGTGGAAACCTAATCTGCTGTTTTCCATTAACTGGGTGCACGTCATTAATCACAAAAATGATGCGTGATGAAAACTACAGGGGTTTGGCCAGAAATTGGAAAAGTGATAATATAGCAGAATGCGCCTTTACACACACACACACACACACACACACAACAACAACAACAACAACAAACAAACAAACAAAAAAACCTCCGAATACACTGAGAAACAAACACTGAACTTTTTCAACTCATTTTCTTAACATTTTTCATTG